ATGTTGGAGGGGCCACTTGGACTGAGCCATAAAAGATGATTGCTGTTGGCCGGGGAGCATGGAGGAAGTGCAGCTCACAACAGTGATGTCGGAGACGGGAAAGCTGGGACAATAGTCTGGTTCCAGAAATTCCACTCCTCACCCTTCCAGATGCCCTTTGGGAGATACATCTGGGATTGGTAAGAGAGAGAACAAGGAAATAGCCATCCAAGGATGAAAAAATGGGACTTTAGACTAAGGGGTTAGGAGCCCCAAGAGAGGTGCCTGGGAGAACAATGAGGCCCGTGTCTTGATGTGGCAGGAGGCAAACAGGCGTGGCTAAAAGCCTCCGATTTGTGCCAGAAACCAATTCCCTCAGGCCTCAGTGAGAGTGGGGCCGTGTGAGGGGCAGGGCATGGTTACAGCCTTGCATTGGCATCTGGAGACTTCAAGCCCTCCCAACCCCCGCCCCCTCCCCAAACTGGTCTTACTCACTTCTTAGGGCAAGACGGCAAGCAGTATTTGCTCACGTGAGCTTGGAGGTTTGAGTGGGGAGGTGTGCCTGAGTTGTTAGTGTGGACAGCTGGACTGGAAGCCAGTGAGCTTGGAGGCTGCCTCCTGGGCCCATGCCACTGGGCCAGAAAAGACCCCAGGAGTCTCTTGGCCTGACTGAAATGGGAAGGGGTGTGTGTGCTGCCAGGGACAGACTCAGGAGAGGGGGTGAGCTGGGTCCAAAAATGATCTCTTAAAAGTTGTCTCCAGTTGGGTGGGGTGTCTCGTTGTGTGGGCAGCTGTAGCCATGTCAGTGTGTTAAGTCTCATACCAACCTGGCTAAGGGGGGTCCCCTGTACTGGAGGCTGTCCGGCACACACGAGATGGTGGCTACACTGCCCTGCGAGGAGAAACCAGCCATTACAGCCCTCAGACCGAGGGGAACTTCCTTATCTACCGACGTCAGAGAGCCAATGTTCTCAGGTTTAAGACAAGCCCTTCCACGAGTGCCTTCCTCGTTGTTACAGGCTTCCTCCTGCTGGCGGGCTAGATCAGCCACGGGACAAACTGGGCTGTTCTCGTCCCGGTAGTCTGGTGTTTCTCTCAGGATCCTGCCCCCTGCGCTTGGGGGATTGTGCCATGATGACATTACAGACGTGATGAGTGGCGCCCATCTTGTGCCACAAGTAAAGTGTCACCTAGGCCTGAGCTGGATTGAGACACTGGGCAGGAACTGTGGCCAAAAGGTAAGGAACTTTACAGTCTGCAGATGTTTAACAAAACTGCAATCAGATTGTTTGGCACTAGCCCACAAATAAGGAACCCTGGCGGTGCCCTGGGCTGAGCATTGTGCGGCTACCTGCAAAGACAGTTGCTTTTAGGGAGAAAGATGAAGCTGTCGGCTCCCAGAAAGATTTACATTTTTTTAAAAAGTAATTTATTTGGAAAATAGCTATCTAAGTATTTTACTCCCTGCACTTACATCTGACTTTTTATTCTACCAAAACACTAAAAACCCCAAACCCAAACTCACTCCCATCCAGTGCATTCCAGCTCCGATGGGTAAAAATCGGCCATCCGTGAGACCACGTCAATAATATTGTTCTACTTGCTCATCGAGAGCAAAGCAGCTTTTTGTCAACCTCAGAGCAGGCTTTTCAAAATGAAAATATTTTCATTGTCTGCCGGGCCTGGGTCAGTTCTGATCTGATTGAAAGATTGGCCAGCATATAATTGAGGTCATTCTGTCCTTTATAGGTCAAGATGTCCGTTATCTCGATCATGCCTTCAAGCACAAGATTTTAGATCGTTGCCTAATGGAAAACACAAGTATGTGGTTACGATTTGTGAGTGAGTAGGCCCAGGAGAGAGGCAGGGGATGATTACAGGCTTGAGACTTTTAAGGAGCCATGGTGGTGTGGTAGGTAAGGCTTTGGGCTGTGGACCACAGGGCCAGCAGCCTAAACTCACCCGCTGTTCCAAGGGGAAAAAAAAGATGGAGCTGTTTGCTCCCATAAAGAGTTACCGTCACAAAACAATATTTTGTTTGTTTTAGATCAGCGGTTCTCAACCTGGGGGCTGCGACCCCTTTGGGGGGTCAAATGACCCTTTCACAGGGGTCGCCTAAGACCATTGGAAAAAGCATATTTCCGCTGGTCTTAGGAACGGAGACACCGCTCCTCTGTCATCTCCTGGCGGCTCTGCCCACATGTAGATACACCCACATACGAGTACCCGGCGTGAAGACTGCCACCCATGCTACATACTACACCATGCTACATACTATATACTACAACATGTGCTACATACTACATACTACACCATACTACACCATGCTTGAAGACACAATTTCATTTATTTGTCATTAGAAATAAATATTTCACAATATATAATTACATATTGTTTTTGTGATGAATCACTATGCTTTAATGATGTTCAATTTGTAACAATGAGAATACATCTTGCATATCAGATATTTACATGACAATTCATAGCTAATAATATCACAGTTGTGAAGTGGCAACGAAAATAACCTTATGGTTGGGGGTCACCACAACACGAGGAGCTGTATTAAAGGGCTGCAGTGTTAGGAAGGCTGAGAACCACTGTTTTAGATGACCTAGAGCAGCGGTTCTCAACCTGTGGGTTGCAACCCCCTTGGGGGTCAAACGACCCTTTCACTGAGAACCACTGTTTTAGATGATCTATTCTAGAGTGTGACAAGCTGTGTCATGTCATTCTGCTAAAGACGAAAAGACGGCCTGGACCACCGACGAATTAGACGACGCCTGTTATCTAGTTTGCAAAAAGGACACTTCAAAAGAAATCAGGGCGTCTCAATCACAGACAAACCAAACTGACTCCAGGGAGGGGAGAGACAGTGATACTGCACGGAGGCATTTTTCTTTCTACCTGCTGTGGGGTCTTGGTGACCCCAGTGTGTCACAGGGAACTGTGCTCCAGGCCGGTGTTCAGAGGCTGCTCTTTGACCAGTAGGTCGCCAGGCCTTGCTTCTTAGGCACTCCCCTGTGGGCTCAGGCCGCCAAGCTTTGGGTCAGCAGCAGGGGGGCTTCACGGTTTGCACCACCCCAGACAGGCAGAATCTGAATTTGTAAAAAGCCAAGAGGAAAGAGCGCCTGGCATTCCGGGGGTGAGAAGGAGGAGAGGGAGTTGGGGGCGGGGAAGGGAAGGGACGCTTCTAGTTCATGATTGTATTTGTCATATTTTTGTTCTTCACATTAAAAAACAAACAGACAGCAAATTGTTACGAGATGAACAGAGCTGGTGGCTGGGCTGCAGCCGCATAATATTATAATCTATACTTTCCCATGTGTTGAAGAGATTTCATTGAAAAAGAAACAATTATCCAAGATCAGTGACTGAGGAGATTGGTTGGGGTGGGGTCCGCAGGGCCTGGCGGGTGGGAGACTGCAAGCGCATCTGGGACCTAGTGGAGGAGGGTGCCTGGCTGCCGGGACCCTGGAGGTACCCGGAGAGAGGGGGCGGGCCCGGGTAACTAACTCGGATGTTCGCGGAAGTGAAAGCAAGGGGGAGAGCGGGCGGTTTGGGGGTGTGTGCAGAAGGTGTGTGACCCGCGGACGTGGCAGCTCCTGGTCGGGGCAGAGCCAGGCGGCCAGCTGTTCTTTGCCGGCTGCAGCCTGTCCTGAGGGAGCCCTTTGCCACCATCCGGACGATGCACCAGGTAGACTAGGCTCACCCCCGCTGCCAGACCGGCCGCACTCCCGGCCAGGGTCACAAGCCTGGGCTTCCCATTTCCCCTGTACATCCCCATACTACTTCCCCATATGCAGGCCTGGGAGCTCTGGGAGGGCCCCTGGGGACTTCAGAGGCGTGGGAGGAGGGGTGGGAGTGGGAATAGGGGACTTGGGCGGTGCACGAGTCAAAGGGCACGCGTTGGGGTGGGATGGGTAGCCACCAGTGCTACCTCGGGGCCAAAGGACTGGCTAGCCTCTCCTGGAGCCCTGTTGCCCAGCCATGGGGAGGGTGGGCCAGGCTGAGGAGGGTCCACACCATAGAGCCTGTTCCTGGGTGGTCCAGAAGGGGATGGGGAGGTGACCAGAAAGAGAAAGCTTCTTGAACCTGTGTGGGTGGTCTCACTGGCTCTGGAGTCCACTGTGGGGAAGTTTGGCCACCTTCACTGCAGGCCCCCCTCCCACCTGACACCCAGCAGGGAGGCGACAGACAGAGGTAGGAGTTATGAACCTCACCCTTACGTAGAAGAACCCTGGGGCTCTGACGGAACTAGAGGCTGCACTGGGTGAGCTTCCCATGTCTTGGGTGGAGCCAGGAATCTCTCCTGGGCATTGCCTCCACTCCAAGTCTCCTGAACCTGACTCTGAGACCTGGGGCTGGGCGAGATGATGGGATAAGGCAGCCTCCTGTCCCACGGCAAGCTCCTGGGCCTCGTGTGCCCTCTTTTTCTATGCATTTTCCCAGGCCCCACTCGTCCCCCTTCCATGGGAGTCAGACTATGGGGGGCCTCAGAGGCTGGACAATGACTTCCTCCCGCCAGAGGCTTTAAAAAGCAGCTGCTTATGGTCCCCTTGCCCAGGCTGTAGGCTGGCAGCCCAGGTAGACTTAGATTCCTGGCACAGGAGCCATTGATGATTTGGCTGGGGACCTGGGAGGAAGGAGCAGTGGGAAGGGTCTGGGGGGACCCAGCCCTAATACGTCAGGCTGTAATGCAACCTTTTGCGTCTTTCTCTCCCCCTCTGTTTCTTTTTTCCTGTTTTGTTCTATTTGTCTCTACCTTGAACTCTTTTTTCTCTCTCTGTATCTCTCTGGATCCCTTTCTGACGGATGTCCTCTGATTCTGTCTTCTGCCGTGTGTCCACGCTGTGTTTCTGGCTGGGCGTTCTCTCTCCCTCTCTGTCCATGGCTTTGCTCTGGCTGTCCATCTGGATTCCTGTCCCTCTCTGTCCCTCTTCCTGAGACCCTCTGTGCTCGCTCAGTCCCCTTGAGTGTGCGTGTCTCTCTCTGTCTTGGTATTTTTCTGTGGGCACACGCCCATGTCACCTCTCTCTCTGTCACTCCCCCTCCCAGGCCATCCCTGGCTTTCTCCAGCTGTGAACAGCTCTGTGGGGCAGGAGCCCCAGAAGCAGCTCCCAGAGGTGCTGAGCGGAGCCTGGGGAAGCCCTCAAGGGGATGGGCTCCCTCTGCTCACCATCATCGTCACCATCTTTGTCCTGCTGGCGGTCGGAATTGTGGTGGCAGTTCATTATGGACCAAGACTGCGTCAAGGCCATGCCTCTCTCCTTAAGGAACCACCAGCCTCCAAACCAGAGGGCGGCATCTACCTCACCCACTGGCAGCCGCTGGGGTCCGCAGACTGTCGTGAAGAAGCCCAACAGAGAACTCCTGCCCCTGTCCCCGCCCCTGCACCAGATGGACCCAGGCTCAGCATGGATGAGATCACGTACCTATAGGAAGGAGACGTTGAAAAGTTGCTGTAACCTGGTCCTGAATAAGGAACTGGACAGAGAATTAGGGCAGAGGCAAACTGGGACTTGGACAGCAGGGCTTCAGAGGGGCCCCGGTGGACTTGGCTGGAGTTGCCCCCTCAGCATGATATTTGGAGAAAGAGCCCTTGTGTGAGAGGAGAGAAGAAGCCTGAGACTGCCCCAAAACCCACTGCTGTGCACCCCCAGGGCGCAAGGGCATACTTATAAAGCCTCTCTTCAGAGATCTCCAGACCCTGCGCCTGCTTCTCAGAGTCCCTGCTCCCTCCTTGCACTCCAATCTCCTCCCACTCCAGGTCCACCTGGGACCATACCCCCTCATGGTGAATGAAATGATATGTGAAGGTCATAGGTCTCCTAAAGAGGCCTGGCCCACCAGCCACCTCCGATCCTGTGAGGGCCAGCCTGAAAGCACCAAGGCGAAGAAAGGAGGTGCTGTGGGATCCTGCCTTCTCCGAGACCCCGTGGGACTCGGGGAAGGAAGGGAGCTCTGCGTCCCTCACCAAGTGAGGGCATCCCTTGGACTGTCACAAGGGCCCTGTGCAGTGGGTTACACAGTGGACTGCTAGACCCAGGGTTAGCGCTTCACACCCACCAGCTGCTCAGTGGGAGAAAGATGAGGCTGTCTGCTCCTGTAAAGATGTACAGCCTCAGAAACGCCCGGGGGGCAGTTCGTCTCTGTCCTATAGGGTCACTATGAGTGGGAACGGGCCCAAGGGCAGTGAGCTTTAAACAACAACAATTTTTTTTTTTTTAACTGTCAGGGTCTCAGACCTGAGTTATAGATAAACTCCACGACTCTTGTGAGCCCCAAGCAGCACTTCCAGCTGCCAAGACTGACTCCGCGTAGCCCCACTGACTGTCTTGCCTTCTCGGGTGGGATGAACGGGGTGTGAGGATGCTCCTTACCCCTCAGCCTCAGTGTGCATCAGCCTGTTGAATCCAGCCTAGATTCCCTGCAGGACATTTCCCAGACCCAGAACCTCCCAGCTGGTGGGAAAACAGGAAAGGAAAAGGAGCTCTGTGGAGCTTGTTTGGGGAAGGAAGGTGTGAGGCTGGGATCAGGCCGGGGTGGGCGAGTCACAGGGATGGACAGCAGGGAGGCTGAGGAGGGGCAGCAGGCCAGGTGGGCAAAGGTGAGCTCCCCAGGGATTCTCTGCAAGGTCCTCACTGGATCTCGGTCACACACGCAGGAGCAGCGCGGAACAGACTGCATGGGAGAATTTGGGCTGCCTCACCTTGGGGGCTACCTGAGAGCAAGAAGTCAACCTGGCCCTGGCCCTGGCCCTGGTGAGAGCCCAGCACATTCAGAGAGCTTCGAAGCAACAGAAAATGGAAAAGAACAGCGGTGGGGTTGGTAGTGTGCGCAGCGCAGTGGGTATGTGTGCAGTGATGTTACCAACTTGACTCCTCGTGAGCCAGCTGTGTGCTGGGCACCAGTTTGTCAGTGGACCTGCACATGCATCCCATTGCTTCCCACAACCACTTGGGAGCAAGGGCCAATGCTGTCCCCACATTACAGTCAGGGAAATAGGATACCCAGGTGGCCAGAGACGCTCGGTGGAAGAGTCTGAATGTGCTCCTGACCACCATGCTGATGGGGGTGGGAGGTCACACGGGAGAGGTCCTTGGTGCAGGGGAAGGCATTTTCTAGGCATGATGGTGGAGGATCTTAGGCTATGGGTGTTATGGGTTCAAATAAATGGCAGCCACTATAATGTCTTGATCATTGAGAAGAGTATTTGGTTATCACCGGACTGCTAGAATCTAAAAGCGATTCTTTGACTGCGGTCCCGAGTGGACATTTAAAGGCAAAAAACCTCTCATTTATCATTTGTCTAGGACTTAAGCAAGCCTGGACAGAAGCAGAAAACAAAATTCATGTTACTGTTCTTTAGAGTTAGTGAGCTTTACAGAGTACTGCATAGAGTCTAACAACCTGGTGAGTAAAATAAAAATAGTAGCAGCCTGGTTACAACATCAAAAGGTCCAATATTATTAATTACAATGCTCTAATCTCAAGAATATGAGAGTACATTCTAAACTCAGTCACTAGTGGGACTTTTTCCGAGATAGGACGGGGAAGGAGGCAGGTCATTCAGCTGTCCACGAGATGGTGTTACAGTGGCCAGTGTGAGTGTGCTCATGGGGGGACAGGAGAGCTGGGGAGAGAAATGGACCTTTCTCTATCACCCTGGCTCCACCCTTCAGGCAACTGTGTGTCTGTGTGGGGAGCGGTTCTCCGCAGAGAGGCTGTACTCAGAGTTGCCTGGTGAACATTTGCAATAAACACCGAAGATGGGAGGAAGAGAACAAGTCCCACCTGGGGGTTGTGAGGGACTCGCAGAAGGGGCTGCCTTCCCTTCTCCTCAGGGGCCCTTTCCCACCCCCGTGTTGGTGCACTGGCTCGGTTCTAACACAGATAACTTTGGTGTGGGGTAGAGGCTGGCCGTGTCGTCCCAGGTCCCCTTGTGTTATGTGCCTCTTCCATTCAAGCCCCCCTCTCCCTTATCTCTTTGCAGACTCTCTCACCTGGAGATTGTGGCCCCTGCTCCTTTGAGCAGCCTCTTGTTCAGGACCCAGCGGTGCCCCCCCACCCCACCCCCGCCCCGCATGGCATCTGCTGTGCAAGTTCTGGTGCAATTCTGAAGCCCTCCCTGCACCCTCCCCCACCCAAGCCTCCCACTGGAGAATAGAGTTGGGGGTGTTGCCCTCAGTCCAGATGGTGGGCTCTGCCCTCACTGCCTCACTGTGCCATACCATTGTGCTATTCTAGGCAGAATAACTGCCAATCAAACCCTTGTGTCAATCAGAGGCTCAACAGGATAAAAGAGAGCCTAGTCACTTTGAGTCATCTGAGGAGTGTTTAAAAATGATGTTATATGACAAAATAATAATTTATGAATTATGAAGGGTTCATGAGGGAGGGGGGGAAATGAGCAGCGATATTAAGGACTCAAGTAGAAGGCAAATGTTTTGAGAATGATGAGGGCAACAAATGTACATATGTGCTTGACACAATGGATATATGTATTGTACGATACATTGTGCGATATATTATACGAGCCCCCAATAAAATGATTGTTAGAAAAATGATGGTATTTAGAAAGCATGAGGAAATCAGGGTGAGGTGGGTCTTCTAGGATGAACATTGGTGGGGACAGAAGCCACCATGAGGCCTGAAAGAGAAAGGAGAGGAAGCGGATACCACGACCTGGGGGGTGACAAGATTATGGAGACGGCCACCCAACAGGGGTGACGAGTTTAGGTCCAGAAGGCAGAGCCCACAATGACTTTGCATGGCAAGGAGGGGGCTGGGGTAAATCCCCCAATCTCAGCCTTCTCCTCCTATCTGTCACCTGCTGGCCTCTCCACGGACTGACCTGGCTAGAAGCCAGGCAGCAGGAGAGCCCGTGGACACTGCCCAGAACGGTCGGCATCCTGGGCCAGAGGAGTTGGAGAAGGGTAGAGAGTAGGTCTGGGGGTTGGGGGGGGGCAGAGAAGATACCTGGCACATATCTGAAGTTTGCCTCGTATTTGCAATTGATCAAACCCTTCCATACGTAGCCCTCACCACCAGCTTGGTGGACAGGAAGAGCATCAATTACCGTACCATTTTACAGGTGAAGATACGGAGGCTCAGAGAGGAGCCATGACTTGCCCAAGATCATGGGGGCTCATCGCTGGTGCAGAGCGCTTCTCTGCCTGGCGCCCCGAAGGAGGAAATGGCTCTACTGGGCCTTCCACCGCCGACCAGTCCACAGGCCACATTGTGGGGATTCCTTGACACTCGTGCAAGGTGACTCTGGGCCTCAGAAGACATCCGTGCGGAGTGGGAGAGGTTGCTCCATGTCACTAATGAGGAACATGGGCTCTTGAGACAGCGAGGAGGTACTAGGCAGGGAGGGACTGGTCTCCTCCGAGCTCCTGACATCGCCCACTGGAACCTCCCTTTCCTCTTGTCTCAGGTGTTGGAGAATTTCCTGGGACAGCGAGAAGCTGCTTCCCTCTGCAGGCTCTGGAAGGGGCGGGGGAGAGGAAGGTGAGGACCTCCCAGATGCCCAATAAGACACGTGCACCCAGAGAACTTCTAGGAAGGCACTCCGACTCCTGCCCTCAGCCACGGGGGCTAGAATTTCATGGAAGCTGGCAGCTAGACATGATCTCAGAGGGCGTCTACTCTCACTTTTTGAGATGATGCCCAGAGAGGAGCAGACACCTGCTCCAGGTCACACCGCAAGGGAATGGTAAGAGATGAGGCTGCAGCCCCCGTCTCTGGGCTCCGACACTTGTGCTCTGGACACCCTGGCCAAGGGCTCTTCTGATTTCTCTGGGATCCCTAAGTGAAATGACAGAGCCTTAGGCCCAGCTCTTTTAAGCTCCACCCAGGGTCCATGATCAAAGATCTCAGAAGGCAATCAAGGGTCCCAGGGTAGAAGGTGGGGGTCTCTCCCAAAGGAGAGAAGGCCATGGGCCTGAGGGCCCTGACCACTTGGGCAGGTACTGCCACATCTTCTGACCCCCTGGGGAGTCCGGGTTTCCTACCAAGCCCCTTCCCTCCCACCTACCAGCCTCTCACCTTGGTAGACAATGAGGCGACACTTGTTCTGAAACTCGGGGGCATCTGCCAGGATGTCTTCCATCTTCCGGCAGAAGAGTTTGGCCTGCTCAAGCCGATCCTCCCGGCTAAAGCCGGCTCGACTGTCCTGTGACATGGCAAACAGGGTCTGCAACGGGGTGGCGTACTCCAGCACACAGACGCCTGCCTGGAGGCGGGGAGAGGAAGACCAGACTAAGCCTGGGCAGGCAGGCAGGTCCTGGAGCCCAGAGGCAGCCCACCTTCTCAGTATGCATTGCTGGGGTCCTCAGGTGGGGCCTGTTCTAGCGTCTCTGCTATCTGCCTTTGCCTCAGACACACCTCCCCCTCCCAAAATTAGGTCCATAAGATGCTCAAGTCACACTTCATAGATCCGCCTCCTAAGGCCCCAGAGCCAGGGTTGCCCAGAGCTCCAGCTGGAATCGAGGCTGGGGACAGGCCTTTGAGGCTTTCCTCTGGGCCCCTCCCCAACATGGGAGGGGTTTCAGACATTCTCCCTGAGGGCAGCTTTAGATTCAAGAGCATGACCACATGGGCGAGCGTGGCCACATGAGCCCTTTCTGTCAAAAACACACAGACAAACTCATCTGTCGTCAAGCCGATGGCGACTCATAGTGGCCCTGTGGAGCAGGGTAGAACTGCCCCTGTGGGTTTCCCAGCCTGTAACTCTGGACGGGAGTAGAGAAAGTCTCATCTTTCTCCCGCTGCACAGCTGATGGTTTAGAACAGCTGACCTTGTGGTGAGCGGCCTGATATATAACCACTACACCACCAGGGCTCACTTTCTGGCAGCCGGTCTAAATCTCAGTCTCCTCATTTGTATAGCTAGGCTGATGATACGGATTCACCGAGGTAGCTTACCAAGGCAGTCAGTGGTGCATAAATACCACATGTCCACACAATCATCCCTGCTAGCTGGTGTTTGCTCAGGCCTAGGACCAGTGCAGGAAACCGAGGGTCCTAGAAGGGCAGAGCATTTCCCCAGAGCTCACCCGCGCTCCGTGCTCCAGCAGCTCATAGACACTGTTGGTGTAGACCCGGTGCTTGATTCCAGCGCGGTCCGCGCTCACCTGGGGCAGCTTGTTCAGGAAGCGAATGTTGGGGTCAGCCACACTGAGGTCATCAAGTACCCCGCAGTCCAACGGGAAGAGGATGTGCAGCCGTTGGCCCCCAATGCCCTTTAGCACGTTGTGGTGTTGCTCATTAAACGATTGGATTCGGGCCTGGAGCCCTGGAGGAGGAAGGCCCAAGAGCAGACGAGAAGTCATTTCCACTAACCCGGTCTCGCGCTGGCCCGGAGCAGAAATTCAGGCCCCGGGTTGAGGCCCCGTGGCGCATGTGGTTCACACTGGGCGGGGCTCCACAGGAGGCAGTGGGGCTTTCCGTTCCGGTGCAGAGTTACAGTCTGGGAAAGTCACAGGGGGCAGTTCTACCCCGTCCTATAGGGTCGCTATAATGGGCATCAACTCAATGGCGGTGAGTTTTGTTTTGTTCTGGGTCCTCTTAGAGCTTGGGTCCTTGGGAACCAGGGGTTTAGTTCACTTTCATGGCATCAGGTCAGGAGGAACCTGAAGCCTTAAGCCAGAAATACCCTTTGAAATCGACTTTAGACTAGAGTTTAGCTTAAGTAATGTACTATGCAAAGGACATCATGCTTGGTAAACTAGAGGGGGGGTGAAACGGGGAAAACTCAGCAAAATGGATTGGCAACGTGGCTTCCACAGTGGGCTCAGATCTAACAAGCACCATGAGGGTGGCACGGGACCGGGCAGGGTTTGCTTCTGCTGCACATATGGTCACAATGAGTTGGGACGGACTCGATGGCGCTGAACAAGAACAACAACAACAATAATGAATGTGTGCCGGGGATCCAGCACGAGAGCTGAGTGTGATGACGTATACACCGCTGTCTTTAAAGCCATTTACGTGTTTTGAAACTGACTGTGGTACAATTATGCTTGATCTAAAATTATGATCACTTGTAAGAGCTCCCAATAAAATGATTAATAAAAAAATTTTAAAAGCGATTTAACTATGGAAGTGTATATGTGAATTTTATATCAAGAAAACTAAAACAAGACAAACAACCCCCCCAAAAAAACTAACAAGTAGAAACACTGCAGAGAATTAACTGAACTCTTTTTATCTATTTCTTTTTTTTTTTTTTTTTTTT